ACGAATGGTGCATCTAGGACGGTTCATTCTGAATCGGACCGAAATCCCAGACGCAAAAAACGTAAATTTCAAAATAGTGACGATTTGACTGATGATGTTTTTCAAGAAAATGCGAGTTTTGCGGATGTTGTAAAAAGATCTAGTCATGCAAGTAAAAGTAAAAATATTAGTAACAGTAATAGTAACAGTAATAGTAAAAGTAACAAACAGAGTAATCGTAAGACTCGTCCGGTCATTGTGATCAAACCAAAAGAGTCCAAACAAGCTTGCGAAGATACTCGTAAGTTTTTGAAAACTCAGTTGGATCCAAAAACACACAAAATCAGTAATTTTAGGAATGGTAAAGATGGCTCTATTATTGTTGAGTGTACAACAGGAGCTAATCTAAATGATGTAAAAACTGGTATTGAAAGCAATCTGGGTGAACAATATAGTGCTGTTGTTCCCACTTCGGTGCCAAGATTGAAAATAGTGGGCATGAGCGATCAGTTTTCCTCCGATGTCTTCATTGACTACTTAAAAAGTCAAAATGAAGACATCGCTATAAATGATGTTAAAGTAGTGAACATGTTTGAAAATCCACGCTTCACTTATAACAAGTTTAGTGTTGTAATTGAAGTCGATGTCGAAACTTATAAATGTTTGTTATGTGCGAAAAAAGTAAATGTAGGGTTTGATCGGTGCTCGATAGTTCCCGCGATTAATGTGTTGAGATGCTTCAAATGTGGAGAATTTGGGCACAAGAGCATGGATTGCAAAAATTGCGAAAGATGCTCTAGGTGCAGCCAACAACACAAAACGTCGGAGTGTACGTTAACTGTATTGAAATGTATTAATTGTTTGAAAACGAATAAAGAACGAAAAATGAACTTGGACGTCAACCATGCCGCATTTAGCTCGGAATGTTTGCTTTATAAAAGACTTTTTGATCAGAAGAAAAGCAGCTTGCGTTTCAATAAATAGCAGCCAAGTTCCAGGAATGTGAATCAATTCGATTTTTTATACTTGAATATTGCGGGGTTGTCAACAATCTACGTAGCATTACGTCAGATTGTTGAAGAAAAACGTCCTCTTTTAGTTTTCTTATCTGAAAATAATATTGTTGAAACTGAAGCTTTTGATCAGTATAGTATTCCGGGATATATTGTTGCTGCTTGTTTATCACATTCTAGATACACTGGCGGTGTTGCTAATTATGTCAAAGAATCAGTTCGATGCAACCTTCGTACCAACGAAGTTATTGATGGCAACTGGTTCTTGGGCATTACAGTTGTACGTGGCATGAAGATGGGTAATTATGGTGTTTTGTATCATTCTCCCAGTTCTAGTGACCAGCGTTTTAGCGTTGAAGTTTTAGAGAACTGGCTCGAGACATTCCTTGATTCTAGTAAATTAAATATAGTGGCTTGTGATTTTAATATTAATTGGCGTGATAACCATGATTCGAATCATTTGAAGCGTTAAGCTGATTTTTTCAATTTAAAACAAACGGTAGATGAGTATACGCGGATTTCCAGGCACAGTAGAACTTTAATTGACCACGTTTATTCCAATTTTGATTCCATTTGTTCAGTTACGGATACTGATTTGAAAATAACCGATCATGAGACTTTAGTGATTAATGTCTTAGACCATGTTAACGATAACGATAATTTTGTAAAATTGAAGTGCTGGAGGAAATATTCGAAGCTGTTTCGAATCTTGTTGAGAGAAGCCTGGATTTTCCATTCGAGGCCGGTAACTTAGATGAATCTACAGCTGTTCTTAATAACGCTTTGAAAACGTGTACCAATCAACTAGTTGAGCAAAAGTTTGTTTCTTTGAAAAACTCGAACAGCTGGTACAATTTGGATCTTTTACATCTTAAACGGAAAAGGGACAAATTGTACAAACAGTTTTGTAGATCTAATAATGACAATCATTGGACTAGGTACACAATCGCGCGTAATAAGTATTCACAATCGATAAAGAAAACTCGTTGTGGATATGTTCAAAGGAAGATTGATCAGCATCAAAACAACAGCAAAGAGTTATGGAAAATTTTGAAATCTTTATTAAAACCGCGGTTCATAACTTTTAATGGCACGTTAGAACAGTCAGAACAAGTAATTGCAGCTAAGTTTAATGATTATTTCGTAGATAGCGTTTCATTGATTAATCAATCTATTGAATTGGTCGATGAACCTGACGAAATAAAACAGCCAGTTAATAGTAGTTGCAGATTTGAAGTTTTTCACCCAATCACATTAGATGAACTTAGAGTTATTTGTTTTTCATTAGGAAAATCGGCTGAAGTAGATAATGTTAATGCTAGAGTTATTCAAGATTGCTTTCATGTCATTGGCCACATCTTGCTGGACCTTATTAATGAATCATTACAAACTGGACATGTGCCACAAATTTGGAAGGAATCCTTAGTGGTCCTTATTCAAAAAGTTGCTGGAACGATTAAAGCCGAAGAGTTTCGTCCCATCAACATGTTGCACACTTTAGAGAAAATCTTAGAACTTGTTGTTAAAGGCCAGCTGTTGGAGTATTTGAATAGCAACTCTTTGTTGATACCAGAACAATCGGGATATCGGGAAGGGCATTCTTGTGAAACGGCGTTGAATTTGGTATTAGCGAAGTGGAAAAATAGCTTGGAGTGTAAAGATACGATTGTTGCTGTTTTTTTGGATCTCCAACGCGCTTTTGAGACAATATCTAGGCCCTTATTGTTAAGATCAATCAAGCGCTTTGGAATTACGAGTACTGCATATAAATGGTTTGAAAGCTATTTGTCTGACAGAACTCAACGGACTGTTTTTAATGATTCTGTTTCCAGTCCCGTGGGGAATACCCTTGGAGTGCCCCAGGGAAGTGTATTAGGGCCCCTGTTATTTATTATGTATATTAATGACTTGCGACGTGTTTTACGATTTTGCGACATTAATCTTTTTGCAGATGATACTGTGTTATTCATTGCAGCTAAGGATTTAGATGATGCCGTTTTACACTTGAATGAAGATTTGCGTTCTCTAAGTAGATGGTTGAAGTATAAGCAGTTAAAATTTAATACAAGTAAAACTAAATTTATGGTAATTTCGCGGAATCGAGTAAATGAGAACGAATCTGTTGTAATTGATGATGAGACTATTGATCGCGTTCGGGAGATTGAATATCTTGGCGTGATTATTGATGACACACTTAAGTTCAACTCTCACATTGACAATGTCATCAAGAAAATTGCCAAGAAGTATGAAATTCTATGTCGACTGAAAAACGATTTAACTATTGCCAGTAAAATACAGCTATACAAATCAGTCATCTCTCCTCATCTAGACTTTTGCCCTTCCATTTTATTTCTGGCCAATGCAACACAAATATCGAGATTACAGCGCTTGCAGAATAAAATAATGCGTTTGATTTTGAGATGTAATAGATTCACTTATTCAACTTTGATGCTAGGCGCCTTACAATGGTTGTCGGTGAAGCAAAGAATTGTATATTTGACTATGGTGTTCATTTTTAAAGTAGTTAACGGTTTGCTGCCTCGATATTTGTGTGATCGAATTGAAAGAGGAAGTGACTTTCATAGATATAATACTAGAAACGCGGTTGAAATAAGAACACCACATTTCTTGACTTATGCTTCACAAAATTCATTATATTATAAAGGAATAAATGTTTTCAATTCGATGCCTAGACATATCAAACGTTCAGCAACACTTACAGAATTTAAAAGACACTGCATTTCACACGTTAAAACTGTCTTTTGAACAGTTATCCAGTGATTTTTTTTTAAGAATTGAAAAATTATGTATCTTGACAAAGTTATCTCTAACGGATTATTTTATATCGATAGCTGTCATAACGACTTTTTAATAATTATTGTAGCACTGCAAAAACTATTTCTGTTCGCCACGAGGGTGATGATGGATTTTTAATATATGATTTTATAGTAGATTAATTAAAAAAAAAAAGTAGTCTACAAAGGTTTGAGCCTCGCGCGCGTATTACGGATATAGAGGACTGAATTTAACATTTGATAAAAAAAAAGCAATTTTGAAGCTTATTTGAAAGATACCTTGAGTTAGTAGTAAGTTTTCTGGCAAATGTTAGGGGTTCGTGAGCATTCCTGACATTGCTGAAAATTATGATAGCATCAGATTGCGGGGTTGCTAGTGTAATAGGATGCTTTGTTGATTGTTCATTAACTCTTGATTGCTTGTAATACTTATGAATATTTTAGGACAAAAAGGCGAACTAAGAGGTGGACGCCTGAGCTTTTCCACATTTATATCGCTGTGAAGCAACTGTAAACTTTAGAGGGAATCTATATCTGTAACTGAAACCAATTCGATTTTGTTTGCCAACCTGGTTAAAATGTCATATTCAATTATCGTAAAGATAAATCGTCCAGCTCAAACCTTTGTAGGGGTAAGAGGTCGGACCATCATCATCATCACCATGCTGGAGGTGGTTGGGTTCGATTCCCGGTCCGGTCTATGAATTTTTCGGGTTGGAAAATGTCTCGACTTCCCTGGGCATAGAAGTATGATTGGACTTGTCACCCAATTATACCAATGCAAAAATGGTACAGGCATCGAAAGCTCTCAATTAATAACTGTGGAAGTGCATCTATAACACTAAGTTGAGAGCACGCAATAAGCTAATATGCAATATGCAATAAGCTTGAAATGCGAAGAAGAAGAAGAAGTTACCAATAAGAGACACATGATCAAAACAGTAATCTTTAACGTTTTCCAGACGAATCGCGCTCCTGTCCATTTTACCCCCACTATCCCTAACAATTGGTCGATGAACTTAATTCTATCTCTAAAGAGCTGCATTACAAGCTTCTACCGCCATCAACAGTGTTTGCTAAGAAATAAATCCATCGCTTATTTCCCAAGAAACCAACAGTTTCAAATTCCCGTTGATATTTTTACAACATGACAGAGAAAATGCGAGCGACGGTCATCCCAAACAGCAAAATATAAATTCAAAAAGTCACTTACCTATAACCGTCGCTAGTATAACGATCCCCAGCACCACCGCCGTCACTATCATCCGTATCAGAAAAATGGTACTCTCGGGGTCATCCATCCCGCCCAGCCCGAACCCACTGCCATCGTCGGGCCTCAGCAGCAGCACGTCCCGATCCGTCCCATTGCCGAATCTGGTGCTAAAGGTTCCGTTGATCAGCCCCAAGCCGCCACTACTACCGCTATAATTGAGCAAAAAACAATTCGTACAGTTCCACAGAGCTATCAGCTCGTCCTCCTGCAGCAGATCCGGAACGTGGGCAAACGATAGCCGCGAGTTTGCAGCCATCCCACTCGGATCACCGAAGCTGCCCTCGACCGAAGAGATGCTACGGTTGATGCTGAACTCGGTCGAGTAGTTGCTGCTGGTGGCAAACAACGAACTGGCAGTGGGTCCCCCCATCGGGGGCCCACTAAAATTGGACAAAGCACCAGCGAGTAGCTCAGTACTACTGCTACTGCTACTGCCATTGACATCGTTGGTGAATTCATCCAGAAAGCTACCGGCACCACCATAATCCAGCACCGTTCCACTATCACTGAGCCCCGACGCTTCCCCTGCCTCGCTTGAAGTGGGACTCCACGAGGTCGACGCTGTCGCTGTCGCCGTCACCGTCGAGTGGATTGCAGTGGTCGCGAATCGGTGCACTTTTTCCGTCACCGTCCGGACCGGCGTCGTCCAAGGCCACGAAGGCCATGAAGAAGAAGACTCTTCTCCGACGGCACGGCCCCTTGCCGTGGCCATAATTTCTTACTGGAAAATACTTCTTCGTCTCCGTCTGGTTCGCTGTGTGCGGTTACTCACTTTTCCTTAACACCCCGTTCGATATCTCACACTTAAAAAAAAAAAGTAGAAGGAAAACAAAGCGTCGCGATGGAGATATTTGCCACTAAGTATCACGTCTATTTCCGTTTTTCCCACAGATCCACATCTCGGACGTCGTCATCATCTTCACTGCAGCAGAGGTGCGCTTCAATGGGCGAAGCATTCGCATGTGTCAACCGTTTTCCATGTTGACGGTCGTAAAACTGCACCACGTCTGTCACCGCCGACGCCGAAGTCGACGCTGCGATGATGATCCGAGCTGGTTGTTGTTTTTCACCCATCAGAGAGTTTGTTTTTCATTTGTGCTTATTTTTTCGCCGCACACAACCGATATAAAATCCACCGTTATTTCTCACTAATTGATTTCAGAACGCCCGCGTCCACGTGCGCTTTTTAGATTTTATTTTTTTGCGCTCCAATTCCCGGTCCCATCTGATGCATGTCGAGCTAGGTGGGTCGCGCTTACACTCGCGAGTATCTCCCATATATGTTTGTCGACGGTAATGAAATTTTCATTGCGGTTCGAACGCTTCCTATCCACTAGCCGAATGCGAGTTTTATGTGTACGCGATGAATTCACGATTGATCTGGAAGTAAACAGAGAGGGATGGAAATTTGTTTTTGAGAGTGTCACCGAGCATGATGATGGCAGATGGGGCGGATAAAATGGAATTTTTATGCATGAATGGAGTTTGGCTGCGAGGTGGCTGTGCAGGTGCTAACGTGAGATAGGCAAGCTTATTGATATTTGTATAAATAGGTTGACTCATACTGGCGTGAAATATTGAGTCCAGGAACGTTGGGGAATTATGCTGTATCATAGGGTGGGTTTAAAATTAATTCCTAGCGACATGCTTGGGCAATTTTGCAAAAAATTTGAACATAGAATATGTTCTAACAATTACGCTAAGATTTTCTGTGACTATGAAATCTTTAAGTATCGATCCAGGCCTTCTTTACGTAGCACAAAAAAATGCATTGTGGATGTGGATTAAGTGTGCTGAAATGTTCGAAAATTCATGCATTCAATTCCATTTTGCTCACTCGAACGGTATTTGCTTGCTAAAGAGCGGAGATAATTAATCGGCTGATATCTCGTTTTCAGTGAGTCATTGGTATTTGATGTCTTCAACAGCACTATAAAATGCATAATGATGACGAGGAAATCATCCTTCTAGAGCACTCCATTCAAAAGATAGACTCAAGTTCAGGTCATGCGGCGTTAAACTAAACTAATCAGAAACTGTCAAAAGCTGGCCCTTTGTAAACTTAGGTTCTGAACCTTTTGGTGGATTTTTTTAAACTTTTGTTTAAAATTTGACAGATGGAAACCCAACAAACAATCGTCTTTTGAAGAAACGACTTCTTGACGATTTAATTCAACTGCATGCTGTTGTATAAGGTATGTCGAGAAGCTTTTATTCGACTTATATGAGTTGTAACAGCGCTTATTGGATAACATTTTTGATTATTCAGCGTTTATTAGACATCACCTCTTCCCCTTAATTAAAACAGTGATGCTTCATCGTGCTCTCTTGCCGTGCGGATCTATTTGCTTTTTGCTTAAGGAAGTGTTACTACTACCTAAAGCTACAACAAATTTAAACAGCACTTTTCAGTGCTCAACCTGTAAAAAATTTCTACCTTGTTCAACTCCTCTTATTCCTCTTCGATCCTTGTTTGGACCCTACCCGAGGTAATCCTTCTTGGATATCGATTTGGAAAATTCCTCTTCGATCCTTCAGATTCTTATAGTAATCTGCTTGGAAGTCGATTTGGATAAAAAATTTACTGCCGCCATGGCGCCTAAACGCAAAAGAAAGGGGCAAACTCTTGACCCCCCTTCTGAAGAAATTAATTTGAGTAATCAATTTGATTTGCTCACGGATGATGAGAATGATCCATCATCCAAGAAAAATTCTAGTAAACTTTCCCGGCTTAATGCCAAGAAGGAAAAGATTCCCCCTATTGTGATAACCACTACCGATTTCCATGCTCTTCGCATGGAACTTTTGAATTTCGTGAAAGTTAAGTTTTCACTACAAATTGGACGTCGGGGTGAATGCCGTGTATTGGCTGAAACCTTGGACGGATTTAAATGTCTTCTCAAGTATCTTACTGAGAAGAAGCACAAATTTTTTACTTACGACACCAAAACTGAACGTGTGTTCAAGGTTGTCATGAAAGGACTGCCCAGTGGTGAATCCCTGGATCAGATCAAAGATGAACTGGCAAAATTACTTGGAGTTGTGCCACTCCAAGTAATCAAAATGAAAATGAAATCCCGTCCTGGCGATTCGCGCAACGGGATTTCTAATGATTTTTATTTAGTTCACTTCAAGTCTAGTGAACTAAACAACCTTAAGGCCTTAGAAAAAGCTAGCCTTATGCTCCATGTCCGAGTGAAGTGGGAACACTTCAGGAAGACTGGAGGAAATTTCCAAAACCTCACTCAGTGCCGTAAGTGCCAGGGATGGGGTCACGGAACTAAAAATTGCTACATGCCAGCTAAATGCATGAATTGTGGTGATTCCTCTCACGCAAAGGACGACTGTCCTGTGAAGGAAGATCCTAAGAAATTTAAATGTTCAAATTGTGGTGAAAACCACAAATCCAATTTTTGGGAATGTAAGACTTGCAAAGCGATCCTACAATCTCGTTCTAACCGACAGGTAGGAAACGCTCCACGTTTCCGACCAGGTACAAATTCCTCTGCTGTTAACAACGGTCAGCGAGGAACAAATTCTACATTCGTACCCGTAGGTACAAATATCATCCCTGCTTCAAATGTTTCATCTGTACCTACTCCCCCCGCTGCTAACAATGTTCAGCGAGTTAATGGAGCTACCTATGCTGCTATTGCAGCGGGTAGAAATCAAAATACTAACCAACGTTCTAACGGAAATTTTGACAATTTTGACTTAGGAAGCATTACTGCCCCTAAAATGGAATTTTTACAGAATTCATTAATTGACATGATTTCTGATATGCTTAAATCTAACTCCATGTTTGATGCTATTCAAACTGGAGTAAAATTTGCTAATAATATTGTCATGACTTTAAAATTCAGTAATGGATTTTAAAGCATTAAACATTTTAAATTGGAATGCTCGATCTCTTAAAGATAATGAAGACGAGCTATTTAATTTTTTGAGAGTTCATAACGTGCATATTGCCGTTATAACTGAAACGTTCCTTAAACCTGACCATAAGGTTAAGAAGGACGCAAATTACTTGATTTATAGAAATGATCGTCTTGATGGACCCTGTGGTGGCGTTGCCATCATTATTCATAGACGAATCAAGCATAAAATTCTTTCTTGATTTGAAACCAAAGTTTTTGAAACTTTGGGAGTTTCTGTTGAAACAAAATTTGGACAACTTACGTTTATAGCTGCCTATTTGCCATTCCAATGCGTAGGCCAACAAAAGAATTTTCTCAAGGGTGACCTCCAGAAACTTACCCGTCATAGGTCTAAATTCTTCATTATTGGTGATTTTAATGCAAAACACCGCTCATGGAATAATGCTCAAAGCAATTCCAATGGTAATATTCTGTTTGATGATTGTTCTGCAGGTTATTACACTATTCAATATCCAAACAGCCCAACATGCTTTTCTTCTGCAAGAAATCCCTCAACTATTGATTTGGTCTTAACTGATTCATGTCATCTTTGTAGCCAATTGGTTACCCATGCTGACTTCGGTTCTGATCACCTTCCAGTAACTTTTGAAATATCCCAAGAAATAATTTGTAATCCCAACAGCTCTACTTTCAATTACCATAGAGCTGATTGGGAGCAATATCGAACATTTATGGAATATAACTTCGATCCAAACATTCCTTTGCAAACCAAAGATGAAATTAATTATGCTCTTGAATCTCTGACTACTTCTATAGTTGAAGCAAGAGCTGCCTCAGTACCAAAATGCGAGGTTAAATTCGATTCAATTGTAATAGACGATGATCTTCAGCTCTTGATCCGTCTTAAAAATGTCCGTAGGAGACAATTTCAAAGAACACGCGATCCTGCCATGAAAGTTATCTGGCGGGATTTGCAAAAACAAATTAAAAAGCGATTCTCTGTCCTGAGGAACAAAACTTTTGAAAATAATGTTTCTAAATTAGACCCAAGTTCCAAACCCTTTTGGAAACTCACAAAAATTTTGAAAAAACCTCAAAAGCCAATTCCAGCGCTTAAAGAAGGTGGTAAAATTTTGATCACAAATTTGGAAAAAGCTCAGAAACTTGCTAAGCAATTCGAGAGTTCCCATAATTTCAGTTTGGGTCTTACTAGTCCTATTGAGAATCAGGTTGCTCAGGATTTTCGGAATATTTTCTCTCGGGAAAATATTTTTGATGATTCCTGGGGGACTGATTTGGACGAAGTAAGGTCTATAACTAAAAAATTTCAAAATATGAAAGCTCCAGGTGATGATGGAATTTTCTATATCCTCATCAAAAAACTCCCAGAGAGTACCTTGTCTTTCCTGGTAAAATTATTTAACAGATGTTTCCATTTGGCATACTTTCCTGATAAATGAAAAAATGCAAAAGTTGTTCCAATTTTGAAGCCGGATAAAAATCCAGCTGAAGCTTCTAGCTACCGTCCAATAAGTTTGCTTTCTTCAGTAAGTAAACTTTTTGAGAAGATAATTTTAAATAGAATGATGCTTCACATCAATACGAACTTAATTTTTGCAGATGAGCAGTTTGGATTTCGCCATGGGCATTCAACTACTCATCAACTCTTGAGAGTTACCAATTTAATTCGTTCAAACAAATCTGAAGGCCACTCAACTGGAGTTGCTCTTCTAGACATAGAAAAAGCATTCGACAGTGTTTGGCATGAAGGTTTGATTGCTAAATTGAAAAAGTTTAATTTTCCACTTTACATTATGAAATTAGTTCAAAATTATTTAACTGACAGAACTCTGCAGGTAAATTATCAAAATTCCAAATCTAATCGACTACCTGTTAGAGCAGGAGTTCCTCAGGGTAGCATTCTTGGGCCTATATTGTATAACATTTTCACTTCGGACCTCCCTGATTTGCCTCAGGGTTGCCACAAATCTTTGTTCGCTGATGACACAGGCATTTCCGCTAAAGGAAGAAGTCTTCGTGTTATTTGCAGCAGACTGCAGAAAAGTTTAGATATTTTTTCTTATTATTTACAAAAATGGAAGATTTCTCCCAACGCTTCCAAAACTCAACTTATAATATTTCCACATAAGCCCAGGGCTTCCTTTTTGAAACCTAGTAGTAGTCACATAGTCACTATGAACGGAGTTCCAATTTCCTGGTCAAACCAAGTGAAATATCTTGGATTAATACTTGACCAAAAATTAACTTTTAAAGATCACATTGAGGGCATTCAAGCCAAATGTAACAAATATATAAAATGTTTGTATCCTCTTATAAACAGGAAATCCAAACTTTGCCTGACGAATAAACTTCTAATATTTAAACAAGTTTTTAGACCGGCCATGCTTTACGCTGTGCCAATATGGTCTAGTTGTTGCACTACCAGGAAAAAAGCACTTCAAAGGATTCAGAACAAAATTCTGAAGATGATTTTGAAGTTGC